ATCCAAGTTTATGTAGAAGTAGCCCAAGTTCAGCTTTGGTGATGCCGAGATTCCATATTTTAAACTATCGGCCTAAACTAGTGGGCCTTCAAAGTACAGTCCTTGAGTTATAATTGAGCTCTGTGAGACTCGGGTTTGTTCTTTGCCGTTCTTTCTCTGGGTGCTGGCCAATCCAGAGGGCAGGGCAGGGTCATTTGGCTCGAGCCTTTATTAATTAAAGGCTACAGATGTAGACTTCTGATGGTTTGGCAATATCTCCAAATACAGTCATCAGAGGCCCTGGCAGGATAAAACAAATATATTCATTGTACAACTTTAAATACCATAGTGTTTATAACTGCCTTTGGAATTTCTTCTTTTCCTTGGAAGCCTAGAAGAGGAGGCAGTGGTGAGGTGTACTTTCTGCCTTTCTTTCAGGATAAGATATGTACACATATAATACCTTAATAAAAAAAGAAAAGAAAAGAAAAGAAATGGACCACGAGGGCCCTTGACGGTCCTGACAGTGCAGTGTTCAGTAACTATTTTCCAGGACATCAGCATTCTTCAGAGCAGTGACACTAGTAACTGACATGTTTGGGGCATTGAGCAATTCTACATGGATTGTGTTTCACAGATCTTTTGTAGTCCAAGAAGCCAACTGAAGTGGGAGAGAAGGAACCAATGAGTCCACAATAGCTTTCAACAATGAATAATAATTCATTGTCATTAAGAAGTTAATGTATTACTGAATTTAAAACTGTCATTCAGATAGGTGTGGAATAAGAAAAACTGGCCTGCCTTTAAGATTAATCACAGGACAGAATTATTTACAGATCACATTGTGCAAACTGACAGAATAGTCAGAGTAAGCTTTAGAGATGCTTAGTATGAGCGGGGCACATGGAGTAATAAATATGGATTTGTGGCCCAGCTGTATATGGAAACCCTCTTGTGTTGAAGAGCCTAAAATGGAAGCATCAGATTGTGTGTGAGCGTATGTATGACTAGTAGGCTGCATTCTAACAGCTTACAAAGGGATGCACTCCACAGTAGGACATTAAGATCACATTTGATGTCTGTTCTGATGGAAGGGCATGTGAAGTGAACTGCAGATTGCACTCTGTGCTTTATCTTGGTCCAATGAGTTGGGAAGGGAAGAAAGTATCCCTCAAAGCTAATTTTCACACTGGATGAAGTGGCTTTTTAAATAGCAAGGAGTCTTAAATAGTCTCATTTCTGGGTGTTTCGAGGAGCTGGGATAAGAAAAGGCAGAGTACTTGCCCAAAGCTACAAGTGACTTTTCTGAAGAAAATCTTCAGCCACATACATAGAGACTATTGAAGGAGAGAAGCAAGAGTTTTGTGGGAGTCACACCCTTGTCTGGGTTGCTATGCTTGTTAAAGTTACTAATTTATGGGAGATTTATTCAAATTAGCAAAAACGAGACACACCCCCTCACATACACAAACATTTTATGTCAGGCTCCTTGCTAGATTTTATTTTGTAAGTGTCTTTGGAAATAGTACATTTCTATTTCTTTAGATAGGTCAAGAGTGATTTGTGCTCTGGGCTGTGAAAGGAGATTAGCCACCACTGCATTCATGAAGCAGTCTACTGGTGGAAAAGTTGGCTTTCTTTCCTTCAGAGTTAAGTAATTGTGAAGTCTCTCATTATACTTTCATGTGGCCTTAGAAAAATAACATAATTTTATATAATTTGGGAATAGCTGGAAGTTTTTATTATACCAAATATTTTCTTCAGACTAATCCTGAGTAGATTGTTAAAATGCCCATTTCAAACCCCTGGGACTGTTGTGTAAGTGTATAAAAATAGGAGAAGTACACACTCTTTGAGTTATACGTTTGTTGAGAAAAAGCCATTTGTTTCCATGACACAACTCTTTGTGGAACAAAGGAGCTGAGTTTTTTGCTTGGTTGATAGTTTAGTTCATATACTGTCTTTTGAATTAAATCCAGCTGTTTTAGTTGACCTTTTATCATTCTGCCTACAACATTTGGGTAACACAGATTTTCTAAGTGAAGTGTTGGCTTCACTTAGAATTTGTTGCATGTATATAATTAAATCTAAGTGTGAACATTAAATTCATGGGTGAAATTTACCTGGGAGGATGGCCAGTCAATTGGAGCATGGGACCACGATTCAAAATGGATCCCCATTTATAAAGAAGTATTCAGAAATTCAAAATTAGTTTAAATGGATAAAAGTGAGGTGTAGTCAAAGAGGCAGGAGAAGTTAATTATCCTGAATTTGTGGCAGCTGTGAACATTTGGCCCTTGAACAACTTGGGTGTTTAGGGGTGCTGACCTTCCACGCAAGAACTACAGCTTCCCCTCCACATACGCAGACTCCCAACCATGCAGCTGACTTTTGAACAATGGGGTTTTGAACTGCTCCCGTATAAGTGGGCCTGTGCAGTTCAAACCCATGTTGTTCAAGGGTCAACTGTAGTGACAAACCCAAACTAGGCAACTGAAAGCTGGGCTTGAGCCCTCATGCTGACTGCTCCTAGATGTGCCATCTCAGCCATGATGCCTCACCTCTTCAAGGCCTTCTCCTTTGCATAGGATAAAGATAATAAACACATCTACCTGACAGATTTTTGAGAGGATAAAATGACCATGTATTTCAGAGTGCTTGGCCAAAAAATAAAGGATTGAACACAAATTGCTTTTAGTTTTCCTTCACAAGAGGGGGGGATATTCAGGAGGTGGAGACCACTGTTTCCCCTGTCTACACTGGAGATTGGACATAGAGGGGTGAGAAGAAGGAGGGGTACACATGCATGTTCTGGAGGACAGGTACTGGATTTATTAGTACTTTGTTGGAGAGTCAGGAGTCTGGATTCTTGTTTGGGCTCTATCATTTCTCCATTGTGATTGCCCTTCTGAAGAGCGCTAAGTGCCCAGCTAGTGTGACTCAGTGGTTGAACATCAACCCACAAACCAGGAAGTCATGGTTCAATTCCTAGTGGGGCACATGCTAGGGTTGCAGGTTCTATCCCCAGTAGAGGGGGTGCAGGAAGCAGCTGATTGATGATTCTCTCTCATCATTGATGTTTGTATCTCTCCTCCTCCCTTCTTCTCTCTGAAATCAATTTAAAAAAATGAACAAAATACCCTCCAACACAAACAAACAAACAAACAAACAAACAAAAATGTTAAGAGAACACTAGAAACAAATGCTTTATAAATAAGATTTATTGAGAAAGGGCAGAGGAAGAAGAGAGTACCCTCTGTTTCCTTGCCTTCCCACTCTTTCTTCTTATTAAGCTGCTTCGTCTTTCCCTTTGGAAAATACCACTCAGGTCCCAGCAGAAGACATATGGCTGCCCCAGCTGGGTGACTAAAGAGAGTTTTATAGTGGGACTCTTTACAAAGGTGTGGGCCAGGTGTAGATAACCAGTGAGGGTGGTGCAGTCACCAGGGCCCCACAATAGCTGGGCAAGGGGAGGATCTAGGTACAAGAACATGTAGAGGGCCACCATCTGGGGCTGGGGCCTCTTGGAGGGGACACAGCATACTAGTACCTGTGGTGCTCTGGCAGGGAGGGAGCTGGGGGAATAAATGGCCATCCTCATTCTCCTGTTCCATGGTCTCCTCCTCATATCTCCCATGGACTAAATCCAAGTAGAAGACTGGGGGCAAGAGAGATGTTATACAGTCCTTGCTGGTCCACCTCCTGGGGCAACAAGCAAGAAGAGGAAATGAAGGGAGGGACTCTGGGTGTGTTTGGGGCAACAGGGAAGTATCTTACTTCAGAGTTGACTTTTGGGTTCTTTTTTTCATAACCTCTTAATTCCTTCTCATTCATTGACCGATCCCACATTCTTAGGAGACTGCAGGCAGGAGACTGCATTGGTCTGCTGCCCAGGGGCTTAGTGACTAGGTCCAGAGTTGCCATGTGTAGACTGCTCTTGCATGATGTAAGTGAAACACTAGCCAATGTAGTTTGTGCTTCATCTACTCTCTTGTTTTTATTATTTTGTTTTTGGAGGATGAGTATACAAAAGCTTCTTGGATAGCCAGGAGGGAGGCCCTGCTGCTTGATTCTCTTTCCTTTTCTTCTCATACCATTAACCTCACACATGAAGATTTCTTGTTATTGTATTGGGGAAAAACGGCAGAGATTCTGATTTCATGGTTATGTCTTTAGTTGGGCTCTCAGAGCAAGCCTCTGCGATGGGGATAATACACAAAGAAGCAATCTAGTTTTTCTCCCCTACATCCTTCGTATTGCTTGGGAAAACAAAGGTACCAGTTTTTTTTTTAATTTTTTATTATTATTTTTTTTATAACTTGTTGATAATGAGAAACCATTTCACAGCTTTATTTCCATTAGAGGTGCTACTTGTTAGATACTCCCCTCCTCCCAATATTCATGGTTGGGGTTATACTCAGTACCCCTCCCACCCCCCCACTCTCCAAATCAGTATATTTGCTCCCCAGAAAAATCTTCTTTCCTATCTGTTTATTGTGCTCTCTGTATACCCCATTCTCAAAAAAAGAGAAAGTGTCGAGAAAAGGTTAGGCATTTTTCTCTTGTCACCCTCTGAGCAGCCTTTGTGTAAGAGCATTGTCATTCCCAAGCCCAAATCCTGGCCCAGGCAAACAGCCTCCTGGAAGCCGTTCAGCTATTCCCCAGGGAAGAGCTTTATCAAGTGTTTATTCTGTCCAAAGGATGCTATGTTCATTGTGTTTCTTAGAAGATACATGGTTATAAATCACTATCAAAGTTCATGCTGAGTGGCCTCCAAGAGGGTGACAGTTGTTGTTTCCTAAGCTCCTCTGCCTCTGAAATGAACCCGCATTCTCGGATGTGGCTGTGTGTTCACCACGGGTGGCACGTCCACCCCGTGATGCAGCTCTGCTCTCCTGCGATGTTCCTCTGAGCAGGCGGTTGGGGAATGTCAGGTCCCAGCTGGCATTTCTGGCTTAGTGTCTCTGGGAGACCGTGGGGAGGTGTCATGGTCTGATGAGCTTCTGTTGTCTGTCTTCCAGGGACTGGAGAGAGTGGCAAGAGCACGTTCATCAAGCAGATGAGAATCATCCACGGGTCAGGATACTCTGATGAAGACAAAAGGGGCTTCACCAAGCTGGTGTATCAGAACATCTTCACGGCCATGCAGGCCATGATCAGAGCCATGGACACGCTCAAGATCCCCTACAAGTACGAGCACAATAAGGTAGGCGTGCTGCCTGTGGGAACCCCTGGCCAAGACATCTGCCTCTGGGATGCCCAATGGGTTTTTGAAATGTACCTTTTTTTGTCGCATCTAATTGGGACTTTTAATAGTACAATAGTTGTTTTTAAATATTTTTTTCCTTAAATCTTTAAAGTCACGTCTATAAAAAATTAAGAGTTGTGTTCTTAGCGATATCAATGAAAGGCATACTTGGATGTTCGACGCTAAGTATGTGGAGGTTTAAAATGTAAGGGCACACATTCCATGGAGAAGACAATTTGGAAGTTCAAGACAAACTGACCACAGTGAGAGAATTCAGAGAAGAGGCATCTTGCTTCAACCTCCCATTCTTTATGCTTCTATGAAAAAAGAATGAAAATAGCTTAAGACCATTCTGTCTGTTTTAATTTTGGACTTTGTGACTTCCTTTTAGTAATACCACAGGCTTAATTTTATTTCAAAATAGGTCCATCTATTACTTCTGGTAACCTTTCAGACATGTTCCTCTGCAGTAGTGTTCAAGTCATGGAAACCTCTAAAATCATTTGACAAAGGGTTAGGAAAAAGAAATAGAAATTTGCAGCTTTTTAAAAAACAAACCTTTCCAATATCCAGCATTAGCTCTTAATTGAAATTGAAAAATAAGTTTATATTCGGGTGAAAACAAATGCTGTCATTGCTTACCCTCCAGATATTTTAGAGACGTGATTCCAAACAAGGTGGGTGCCTCTGCTGGTGGCTCCAGGTGTGAGTGACACTGCCATTGCCCCTCAGAAAGCTCTCAGCCCCTGCGATTACACCAGGGAGGACATCTGTGCAGAGGCCCCAGCCCAAGGGGAAGGGAAGTCTATTTGGAACTTGTAGAAATGCTTTACAGTCTGTTTTCTTTCATTCTGTGGATTAGTGCTTCCAATGACGTACACAGTCTTCTTCCTTCAGGCTTTTATTGAAGCTGGTAAAATCTCACCTCTTTTGACAAAACACTGCATTTGCACCAACAGTTATGTACTTTAGTGTCTTCAGTCAGAACTTGCATTCACTCAGTATTCTTGATAATCTACTCTTGAGGATATTTCCATGTATCAGGATCAATAGGTAATAGCAAGGAGCTGGTATGCCCAGGGTGACTCATAACTAGATTTAACTCGCAAAAAATGAATTATAGGTGAAATAAGGCAGTTTAGTATACCTTCATTTCTGTTACCATCTAGAAGTTTCTAACTATATAGATCATCTCCGTTTCTTGGGTGGTTCCTTGAAATTAATGGACTGTTTCTTGTCTAATGATATCCTCACACCTTTTTTTTTTTTTTTTTAAATGGCAACAAGAAAGTCTCTCCACAAATAACAGAGAAAGCTTCCACAAATGATTCTTCCTGCTTCTGTTCTCAAAAATGAAAGGATCTGGTCAGATTTGTGAGCCTAGGACTGGGGCACTTGAACCAGATGAGACTGCCTGCATATCTAAAATCTCAATTTAGAAGGATCAGGATTCCCCACCCCTTCCCACCACCACTAACGAAATCTCATGTAATGCATTTCTGAAGCAGGAATACATGCTAGTTTTGTTGCAATTGTGAGACAGTTCTGTGGAAGGAAATTTTCTTAATGCCAATGACTTTCCAAACTACAATTGATGGATAGTATGATGACCTGATGAATGCTGGCTGAGTTATCACATGTGTGTTGTGATTGATGTATCACACACAGATACATTCACAATTTACACCTTATCATAGTCTCCATAAATTATACAAAAAAACAGAAAAAACAAAATTTCTTTCTTGGATGCTCCAGAGAATTCTTTAGGACCTTGCCTTGATGTTAGAGTTTCATATGAAGATCATTTATTGTACAGTCACATAGAAGTGGAAATGGAGAGGAATTTATGCCTTCTTCATGTAGCACATTGAAGAATACTTAACAGTGTTATTTGAGCTCTTTGTATCAGTTCTTGTTAAATAGCCTTTACTAGGTTGAATACCATTCAGTTAGAAATCAACGTCCTAAAAATTATGTTAATATAATTTTTCTCAAATATCATAATTATCCTGTGAAATCTTACCATGGCTCTTAGGTTACATAACACACGTTCTAAAAGAGTGACATGAGTGTGTGCTGACTTCTGAATTAAACATTCTTCAATATGTTTAATCCTCTTCAAGTCATAATATAAATTACTTTCACATTTGTTCCATCTTCACTACAACATCTATATTCTAATGCATCACACCCCCCTTGCTTCATCCATCAACTTCCTGAGCTCTGCCCACTCCTAGACTTTGTTAATACTTGTTAAGGAATTATGTTCTCTCCTTCCTGTTCCACCCAACTGCAGCTTCCTCCTAGAGTTCTCTACTTCCCTCTCCCATAGCACTAGGTAATCCCACCCTCCTGTAGCAGAATCGTTAGTGGAGGATTTATAGTTGTCTAGCTTGTATTATTTATAACAATTTGGTGTTGACCTGATTTCCTGACTAGGCTCAACTAAGCTCCTTGAAAGTACATGTATGTCAGTTTCATCTTGGTATTCTTCATTGTCCCTGGCATTGTGTCTTGTACACAGTAGAGGCTCAAAACATTCCTTGTTTTATGAATAGCTAAATCATTTGTAAGCTTAAACAACTGGAACCCCCTCTTCTGCTCCCAATGTGGTTAAGATGATTATTCAGATAAACAAATAGCTGTCAAAATTTTTTTTCTGCATAAGAGAAGAAATGCAACTTGCTGTCAGAAATAGGCTGCAATTCACAATTCAGGAAGAGGCAAGGGAATTGCTGAGGGAGGGGCCCACTGGAGAAGAGGAATGGCTGGTCACAATATGTTTATATTTTATGAATAGTTTAAAGAACTTAATGTGCATTTTATTAGCAATTACTGGGGAGCAGTGCATTGTGATTTATATTATTTTGTGACATTAAAGCTATAAAATAAATAACCATTTCATTTTTTAAAAACTTCTCTGCACCACCTGCCACATTGGCCATAATCTGTGTTAGTAGCATAAATAAAAATACTTTCCAGGATTGCCCAGCCTAATTTTATACTTACTTCTGAGTCCACTTATTTTATAAGGCAAAGCATAACTTACAAATGATAAAGCCTATTCTTAAATTGGAAAACTACTAGAGTTTTTTTTTTTCTTTTTTTTTTTTTTTTTCTGTGGAAATGGTTCTGGTTATAGAATGCACACCAGAATACTGGAATTTCTTTTGCTCCTGTGTGTTACTAGATTGAATCAAGAATCCCTCTGGTTAGATGGGGGTAGAGGGGAGTGGGAGGGATGGGGGGAACTGTGCAGTGGCTATTCCCCCCCATATCTCCCCACCCCTGCCATAGCACTAAGTAATCCCACCCTCATGTTCTGTCCTTGGACTTTCTTTGCCAAACAAATAACGTTTACAGGTGAGCTGCTTGGACTCGGCCCACGTGAGGGACTTCACTGTGAGCTAGGGTTTGTTTTTTCCACAGAGGTACTTTGCCATTTCCCTAAATACAACTCTTGATAGCTGATATTGAAAGGGATTAAATATTTGTTGCTTAGTCAAATTAAAAGTTACACTTAGGGCTCTGCTAGGCAGAAGGCATTGGACTGTGAGATTACTGCATCATTCCTAAAAGGGAGAATTTTCATCACTATTATCTTTTTATTTTCTTATATACGTGGATGTACTCTTTTGATTATTCTTTGCTTTGCTGCTGAAATCAGCTCTTACTAAAAAGGAAAAGATAAACAATTTCTGTGTTTACCTGGCTAAGAACTATCTGGAAGGCTTATATGAGGAAGGAGCAGCTCATTAGCTTCAGACCCTGAATTTTTTTATGTACTTACTGTCTGTACCTGGCAGTTGGCATGCTTTCTGCGTTGCCTGCTCCTTTGCACACATATGTGCCTTGCTTTCCCAGCCAGGTGGCAGATCAACTACGATAACTATGCTTCCGGTTTTCTAATTTGTCTCTCCTCCACAACATGCTGCAAATGTGGTAGCAGTTTTTGTTCATGGAGTGGATTATTCCAGATACAGATCCTGGTGTCCCTTTATCATTGTGTTGCCTCCTGCTTTCTGTGAACTGTGAAATGGAGGTATTCTTATGCCAGTTCCAAAGTATCAACAGGCTGCAGCTCCCTTTGCCAGTCCCAGAAAGAGAAAAAGCATCTGATGTTCTAGTTTTCACTTTTGGACTCATGACCACAGCTCATGCGGTGCCTAGGCTGCTGCCGCCTTCGACTCCCCAGCCAGCAGTGTGCAGGCCCCACACCGAGTGTCCTTTTTCTCCTGGTCCGATGGCTGCTGTTTGTGTGAACCCTTCTGAGAAAGGACTTGTCACAGGGGAAGAACCTTGTTAAACACAGTCACAGCTTTCCGAATCTTCTGTACTTCCTGAGAAATGCAAGATCTCAGAAGCCATTTTTCAAGAGAAAAATGCAGTTGAGATCTTGGGGAACGTGCCAACTTATTCCTGCCTTTGATCAGTTGAACAAGTGATTTCTGCCACTACCTTTTTCAGCAGGAGGGAATTTTCTACTGCCCTTTTCACCATGAGGGAGTCGTCTTAGTTTACAGAATGCTAAAAGCCTGGTTTGATTTTTAATATTTCTCACTTACACAATAAGCACACACTAAAAGCAGAAGTTGATCAGTGTATGTTTTATTCCTCTGAGGAGTTGTATCCGTTAAGGTTCTCTGCTGGAAAGCAACAGAAGCCAGCACTGGCCAGCTGAAGCAGAAGAATATGTGGGACTGGGAGGTCGCTCTAGAACTGAGGAGAAGCCCAAAGGACTAGCTCGTGGAAACCAGGGCAGGTTTGAGGAACTCATCTGTGAGACAGATGAACTCTGACCCTTTTTAATCTTCTTTCACTCCGCTCAAGATACAAATTGCCAGGAAAAGTTGCCTGGTGGGGCTGGGCAAGCCTGGGCCCTTTGATTGACAGCCTCTGAGGAAAACGTAGTTCAGTTAGTAGAAGAAGGGGAGGGGGGTCATGCTGGCACAAACCAC